GGCCGTGGCTGGCGCTGTAGGGCAGGGAGAAAGGATGAATTCGGCACAGTCCTGGCACGCACGCTGGGAACGGCGGCTTTCACCATTCTCCAGGGCTGCTACCAAACACCGTGCATTGGCCGTGATGGGTGACGGTGGTGACTCCTGGCAGAGGACGGCATGCACGGAAACGAGCCCGGCAATCGCTTCTCCAGCCCGGCTGCATTACCTCAGCCTTGGCTGGGCCATGGCTCCTCCGTTTATCAAAGCCATCAGGGCTCGCAGCCGTCGTGCGCTCACTATTACTCATTTGAATCCCAGCGTCGCTTCGCAGGCAAACCGAGGGGGAAGGCAGCTCATCCGTGGCCATGCCAACCTGGCTCTCGGCTCGGACCAGAGCTGGGTATAAAAAGACCTTCAGGGAGCTGTAAGACTAAAACCTGGCTCTTGTCTTAGGAGAGCGTGAAGGTGCTGCGGCTGACGCTGCCGAATGACCTCCCCGGCGACAGGCGCGAGCAGGCGAAGCAGAAGGTGGGTGCCCCCCACGGCTCGGTTCAGAGTTGAAAATACAAATTTGTGAGGTAATTTAAGGAGGCAGAAACGGGCGTTTGGGGGAGGATCGGTCACTTTATGCTTTGGGAAGTAGAAAACTCACCTCCTGCTCTGTTAAATGTTTTGGTGCCGCGTTCCCCCGCGAAAATGTGTGGTGCTGATTTGACTGGAGCTGGGCGAACCGTTCCAGCCAGTCTCACCTCTCTGAACGCCGCTTCTGTCTCTCCCAGCCGGTGGGAAAAGCCTTCGCCATGGTGGCCAACAGATCCAGCAACGGTCACTCCCTGGCCTCCGAATGCATCAAATCCAACGACGGCGATGAGGAGATCATCAAGGTACGGTCCCTGGCTCGCCGGCTTTGTTGCAAAGTGATCTTGTTTAGTAAGCACGGCTGGAGAAAAGGTTTTGTCTGAAACTACATGGGCAAAAAGTGCTACTACGCCACTCCCTGGTGTGGTTCGTGATGGGGCGGCGGGAGGCTTGGTGCAGTGCTGCTGTTTGGAAACACCAGCTCGGTGGCCTTCCCCTGGTTTTAGGGTGCTGCAGTGTGAACCCAGGGCAGCTGCAGTGGCTCCATGGGGTCGGGTTCACACTGGAGGAGGAAAAGCTTCAAAAAACACCAAGGAAGGGGAACTGCAATGGGGAAACCCTTGGACAACACGGCTGGGAAAGCGGTGGGATCCAGTGTCCTGATCCCTGAGGAGCTGGGCTTTACTGGTGTTACTGGGCTGGCTGGAGTTGACACGGACTGACCCGCTGCTGCTGTCTCTCCTGGGCAGGTTTACCTGAAGGCACGAGCCGAGGGCAGCGTGAACCATGAGGAGCACGTCAACCAGCTGAAGAGCGAAGTTCGTTACATTCAAGAGGTAGTTAACGTCCGCGGGGGGCTCTGGCTTGCACGCTGCTGCCTGAATGCGTGGGGGCTTGCGGCGAGGGTCCGGGGCGCTCGGCTTCGCCCGGGGACGTCCCGTGGGGGTTTCACACCAGTGGGCGACGATGGCCGCGCCGGCTGGGGGGCGTGGGGACC